GTACTCCAGATCCAAAAGGATCTGGAGTACCTGCTCCTCAGTTGTGACCACTGCTCCAGTTTTAGTGTTGTCTGCGAATTTGATCAGCAGACTGTTCACCCCTTCTTCCATGTCGTTAATGAAAAGATTAAACAGGATCGGCCCCAGGAGAGAGCCCTGGGGGACCCCGCTTGTTACTGGCCGCCATCCCGATGATTCCCCGCTAACGGTTACCTTCTGCTTTCGGTCAGTCAACCATGCCCTAATCCACCGGACAGTGCTTTGGTGTATCCCAAAACTCCTCAGTTTCTCCACCAGATTTCTCCACCAAGGGGCACTTTGTCAAAGGCCTCGCTGAAATCCAGGTATACCACATCCACTGCATCCCCTCCATCTAGCCATCTCGAAACCCTATCATAGAATTCCACAGGGTTTGTCTGGCAGGACCTGTTTTTGTGGAAGCCGTGTTGTATGGCTGTCAGCCTCCCTTCCCTATCTAGCATCACTAGGTCTCTCTCTATAATGAGCCTTTCCATTCTTTTTCTTACAATGGACGTAAGGCTAACCAGTCTATAATTCCCCATGTTCTTTCTACTACCTTTTTGAAAATTGGGACCACTGATGCCACCCTCCAGTCCTCTGGAACTTCACCTGTTCTCCACGAGTCTCTAAAATGGAGGCCAGTGGGTGTGAGAGAACCCCTGCCAACTCTCTAAGTACTCTCAGGTGTAACCCGTCAGGGCCTGGCGCCTTTGTAATGTCCAATGCCCCGAGGAGCCCCTCAACTTCAAGGGGGGTGACTCTGTGCCCCTATGTCTCCAGCCTCATCTAATCTCCTATGCGGATATCCCCTGTCCTGCTTTGGGGAGAAAACAGAGGCAAAATAGTCATTTAGCATCTGTGCCTGTTCCCTCATATCAGTCACTGGATCTCCTTCCTCCTTATTTAGTGGTCCCACCACTTGTCTCCCCTTCCTCTTCCTCTTTACATGCTGAAAGAAGCCCTTTTTGTTGCTCTTGATATTCTTGGCAAGTCTCAGCTCGTAATCAGCCTTAGCCTTCCGAAGAATCCTTCTGCAGCGGGCCTCCTCCTCCTGGTATACCCTTTTGTCTATTTCCCCAGTACCCATTTCCTACGGAGGTTCCTCTTATTTCCTGAAAGTGAATGTACAGTGGTACCTCAGCTCATGAACGCCTTGGTTCACGAACAAATTGGGTCACAAACAAAAATTTCTGAAAAATTTTGACTTGGGTCACGAACACCACTTTGGGTGACGACCAAGATCGCAGCCATCTCCCCCACACCCCCGCAGTGGGGAGATGGCCACAATCGCAGTTCCATTCGTGCAGGGAAGGCGTGCGTGATCAGAGGCGCGCTGCTGCAGGAAAGACGGGAGCAGCAAAGCAGAGCTGTGGGGGAGATGGCCGATCAGGCATACCTTCCCTGCACGAACGGAACTGCAATCGCAGCCATCTCCCCACCCCCAGCGCACCGTTTGTGCCCATCTCCTTCCCCCAGTGCGCCCGCAATCATGCCCTTCTCTTCCCCCCTACACCCCAGTGCACCAGGATGATGGTCGCCTGCAGGGATGAAATGCACATGCAGGGATGACAGGAATGATCTCGGTCGTGCTGGGGGAGCGGGGAGATGGCCGCGCTTGCGCTTGGGGTGGAGGCGGTGGAGATGGCCGTGATCTTTGTTGTTGTCACTTTGCTTCACATTTTTCTGATTTTAAAAAAAATGGTTACAGAATGGATTAACCTTATTTACACTGAACCTTATGGGGAAATTTAACTTGGCTCATGACCAGTTTGGGTCATGACCAGAGTTGTGAGCCAAGGTATCACTGTATAAAGAAAAAGCAGTCAAGTCTCCATTTAGACACTGCTGCTTCCATGGTGGGTCCAGTAATGAATATGGTGAGGGGAGTAAGGGAGGTTTAACAGGAAGCAAATGTATTTCATGGGAAAAGATGCCTTCCTAAGGAACCTGAGAACTGTGATGACTGAATAAAGATTTAACAGCTAGTCCCTCCAATCCAGCAAAGGAGATAAATTTCAGAAATGATTTCTGAACAGAGATTCTTTGCCTCCACCTTCCCAAAGAGGAAGCAGGTATGTATTCAGCCCAGAATATCCAATGCAGACCCCATTCTTCATACTATAACGTGTAGATGCCAAAGTATATTTCCATACAGATTACAGTGCAGATGGGAATGCATACCTCAATACTTTGGGTGCCAGCGTGCATCATTATACACCAATATATTTGTCTAGTGTGTTCATCAGTGAAACCTATAATTCTAATTTTACTTTGCTTTCCAGTGTAGAATCCCATATGTGTGAATTCTGCCCTCTAGTGGATTTTTCAAACAAGTACCTATTAAGACAGCTGCATTTTGACAGGTCTTATCAAAGGTTAAAAGTATTTGCCAGCTCAGCATCTCTCTGCAATTCTGCATCCAAAAATCCAATTCAGCATATGAAACCTGCATGTTGCCTAACTTATCCTGAGAGCAAACATTCCAACAAACACAGTTTAGGGAAGGAATAAGCATATTCGTAGGAAGCAATTTTACAGAAATAAACCTGATGGAAAAGGAAACCGACACATGTTTGCATTGAATAAACAAATTCTAATCTTTGGTAGCAATAAAGAAGCTCCACAGCAATGTAGCACAAAATGATTAGTAATAACACCTCTTAATACCTCTAGTGAATATTCTCCTAAAAGTTTCCATAGAGTAAGTTAAGAGAATACTAAGCTGGAGATTTTCTTCCCTTCCCTGAATATATATACTCCTTTATTCCTTCTCAGACAGTAAATCTGGAAAATTCATATTATGGTGTTGAGTTACAACAATGTTACAAAACCCAAGTCCATATTTTATAAGCTATTGTCACAATACCTTTCTCACTGTTTGCACTCAGTTTCCTAGAGTTTCCTTGCTTTTACCTGAAATTCCTCTGCAAGGTAGTTATTGCTTTTGGAAGCTGCTTTAGTCTTTTTCGGGTTTGAAATCCCCTCCAAGCTGCCTGGATTAAGCAAGCTGCTTGATGTTGTCTCTGAAATCAATGAATCAGAAGAGATCAACTCACTTTTCCATTGGGTGCACTGACAATATTAAGACATCTCCCCCACCCCACATTCATAGGAACGATTTCTCTTGGGGTGGGGCAGTACCAAACTCCTTGTCAAAGTCCTTCTTGTCCAAACTGATGTCTGCTTCCAGGTAAAGGGAGATGCCATCTCAATATCTAAACGAAACTAAGAACTCCTTGTCCTAATGCCTTTTAGATGTGCCACACTGGAGCACTTGCTACAGCAGGCTAAATGGCAGGAGGGAAAACAAGCAAGAGAAGCCTCCATTGTTTTCCCATTTTGCAGTAGATTCAAGAAGGTACAAGAATCTCCAGGCTGTGGCTTGTCAACTGTGCAGCATTAACAAGCTATTAAGATAAACTGTAGCCAGTACCAACATAGCACTGAAAGACAAATCATCCTATCCCTCCAACAACACAGAAAGGTCATCTGTAGAGCACTTCACCATTTTGTCATGCCACATTACCTCTCCCCACATATATGAAATATGAGCACAAGCAGTAAGCAAAGCAGAGGTGAAACTTGCTTGGACCGTCATGAACACAGCATTACTAACAGCTTCAAAACACTGACAAAATTGTCAGGGTGTTCCTCTCCCCCTATTTTTAATGCTACAGGGCAGAATGAGAACGATATTGCTTACTGTTACTTCCAGGTGTTGCCTTCTCATTGGTTCTGCTGGATTTCTATGGCTTTTGATACCATCAGCCAAGGTATCCTTGTGGGGTATTGCATAAGAACTGCACTATTCTATAGTGGCTCCAACCTTATAGGACAAGTTAGCTTTAATTCAGTGGCCTTTTCAATTCCATAGGTTTCAATTTTGTTAAACCGCATTAGGGATATCTACGTCAAGCTGCAGGGGGAGGTTGTCTGAAGATAATTCCCCTCTTTCCCTAGACTTTATTTAACCTCTAAAGCAGCTGTGGAAAAACAGGAGCATTATCTGGGTGCAGTGATAGCCCAAATATGAGCTAATAAGCTGAGACTTAATCCAGACTAGACAGATGTGTTTGTGAACAGTGAGAGAGCTGAGCTGATTCAGGCTTCAAGATGTTCTGGATATGGCTTTACTCCCCTCGAAGGATCAGTTCTATAGTTCTGAGAGTGCTCCTGGAGACCCAGGTTGGTGGTGACAGCCACCACTGCCTTTGCTTAACTTGGGAGAGCCAGTGTGGTGCAGCAGTTAAGAGCACGGGACTGGGACTCAGACGATCTGGGTTCTAGTCCCCGCTCAGCCATGGAGCCAACTGGGTGACTTTGGGCCAGTCACAGACTCTCAGCCCAACCTACCTCACAGGGTTGTTATTGTGGGGATAAGATGGAGGAGGAGAGATGATGCAAACTGCCTTGAGCCCTTTGTAGGAAAAAGGCAGGATATATATATAAAATAAAAAAAATAAAAACCTTTGACGTATGTGCCGTTTTCTGGGCTATACGCTTCTTGCCACTGTCACTCATGCCTTGGACACATCCAGATGGGATTACTGCTATATGCTCAGTGTGGGACTTCCTGGGGAAGATATTTTGAAACTCCAGCTGGCATAGAATACAGTAGCCTGGCTGGTTTCCAATATTTCACCTTTTACAACTCATTACTCTGGTCCATTTGTTTCCAGGCAAAACGCACAGATCTGGTTATTGTGTATAAAAGTCCTATGCAGCTTGGAAGCAGGTTACCTAAAGCTTCCTTCCACGTGAAGCAGCTTGTGCACCACATTCAGCATTTGAGGCCCAGCTCCATGATCTACCATCTTCAGAAGTATGGTTGGTGGAGATATGAGAGTGGGCCTTCTTTGTGGTACTCTTTCCTAGAAAAGATCCAGCCAGTTGTCTTGAGTTTTAGGAGGGCAGCAAAACTTTAAAAAAAATTCCACTCAGCTTTCAATCTGTTTTAATTTCCATCTATGATGAGGTAGTAGTAAATGCGGTTGCACACTCTCTTAGGGACAAGGTCCACAGCTTGGGAGCGCTCCTCGACCCAGAGCTTTCACTGGAAGCTCAGGTGACAGTGGTGGTGAGGAGCGCCTTCCTTCAGCTTCGGCTGATCCATCAGCTACGCCCCTACCTGGAGTACGACTGCCTGGTGACAGTGACACACGCGCTGGTGACTTCCTGACTTGACTTCTGTAACGCACTCTATGTGGGGCTGCCCTTGAAGACGGTCCGGATACTTCAGTTGGTTCAAAATAGAGCTGCCAGGCTGCTGACGGGGACTGGGCGTTATGTCCACATGACTCCAGTTCTCCGTCAGCTTCACTGGCTTCCCATTGAAGTCTGGGCCCAATTCAAGGTGTTGGTTATGACCTATAAAGCCCTTAACGGCTTGGGTCCTGGTTACCTGAAGGAGCGCTTACGTCCATATATGCCCGGCCGCCCCTTGAGATCAGCAGGAGAGGCCCTTCTTCGGGAACCCTCCGTGAAGGATATTAGGAGGGTGAGTACTCGGAGGAGGGCTTTCTCTGTGGAGGTGCCCAATCTATGGAATGCACTCCCCAGAGAGGTCCGCCTGGTGCTGTCGTTATTTGTTTTTCGGCGCCAGGCGAAGACCTTTTTATTTAAGCATTATTTTAATTGTTAATATTATTTATTTTATTCTTTGGCCAGGTCGACTCAAATTATATTGTTTTTCTATATTGTGATTATTTATTTATTGTTGTGAGCCGCCCTGAGGCTTCGGTGAATGGGGCAGCATAGAAGCTTCCTTCCTTCCTTCCTTCCTTCCTTAATTAACACAGCTGTTTGGTGCACATTTGTGCTTCTACTTTAATGATTTAAAGCCTGATATTATGGCTGCTAGACAGAATGTAGACAGCCATAAGAGAAGTGAGAGTCCCAGTTCTGACCTCAGAAATGTGCTCTGAGGTAGGAGCTGGGATTTCAGTCTTGGAGGGCCCTCTCTCTACCCTTGCTCCTGGTGCACTTCCTTCTGCACTGGCTGTGGCTCCCACAAGGAGACCACCTCGGAGCTAGTGCTTGGTGGGTGTTCCAGAAGAGAGGAGCAGTAAGGCTCCACTGGGATATGCTGTATCCTGGGAGCACCTCAGCCTGTCCTCCACAGGAGCCAAAGGCACAAGATTCAGACTTCTGAGAGTGACTGTCTAAGCCTTTGGCAGAGCAGGACAAGTGCAAACTTGACCTTCACCTCCATATTCCTCCACCCTTGAAGGGATGCCTGCAACCCTCTGAGTACAGAAGGTTACAGCCAGCCACACTGGATGGCACTGGCCACTGGGATACAGTATTTCTGCATGGTCTTTTTAATCTAGAAGCTGCCTTATCAGTCCTTTTAGCAGTTGAAAGGCAGGGGAGGTATTTTCTTCAACAAATGTTTGTAGTGCCTTTTGGCCAACTGATCCATTGGTGAACAAGTGCTGGATGGAAACTCTGAAAGATACAAAACTGCATCAATGAGATCTAGTACAAGCTACTTCCACCTCATACAAAATACTGTAAGACTTGCATCACACCTGCATTTTGCCAGCTGTATAGTTTTCTGAGCAGAGCAAGTCCAAAAGTTGATTAAGACTCTTGTCAAATCCTTTGCCAGACCACTGCTTGCTTAGAAGAGTCTGTAGTCCTTAATCAGTAAGACACAAAAAGATAAATACAGTGTTTTGTAAGAATCACAGATTGCTCATCCTGTAGACTTTCAACAATAAATTACAGTTGCAAATGCAGGAGTAGGCAATAGTTTGAATTTTCCACTACAGGGAAAATTTATGTGGTAAAAAAGAATCAAAACATCAAGGAGATGCCAGTCTCTTCACACCATAAACAGAAGTCCATATTTGACTCCAGCTTGGGAAGGGGAAGCCTTCTGATGCATGAACTAGCCTAAGTATGTTGCAAATGTTTGCACTTAACGCTTTGCACATGTACACATAAAAGGCATATAGGCATGTCCATATAAAATCCTGAAATATTCCTAATATTATTACACCTTCGCAGATAGAACAAAGAAATACATTTTTTACCCTTGGTCAGATAAAACATCAGTCCTGTTCTGTAAAATGCAAAACAAAACAAAGCACCATTAAAGTAAAAATGGTGCAATACTCATTGTTAGTACCCTGCAGAAAAACTAGGCCAATTTCAGATATAAAGCTCAACTGAGCTGTCCTTGTTTAGCTTCCAAGGCAAATATGTTGACTGAATGGACTTTTCCCTTTGATATGTGACCACTTGGGTTGGCCATGGACATCTATTTTGGGTAAATTTGGAGGGGGTACACCATGCTTATCAAGAAATAAGTGTTTTCAAAGGTCACATATTAGCCTGAAGATAAAAAATAGATATAGTAATTTTGGGAAGAATATTGGCTCAATAAAGTGAAAGTACAGAAGAAAAACCTATCACTTGTCACTTTCATGGATGTGCAACTTGATATGTCAATTTCAGTTTGGCTGCAGCTTAAGAAATTGCCTTTCGCATCCAGTAAAAATTGTGAGACATCAGTTGTGATTTTTAAAAGAAATATTTCAAATACTGTGTTGGCTCCAGACTTCATTACGTGACCATAGTTTCTATTGAGTTTGCATATGACCCATACTGTTCTACTACCTTAATTGAGACATTTAATATACTTTACAATTGAATCAGGAGCACTAGATTGCATAAAAACACCCTACCTTTCTGGATTACAGTGAAGTTTGCCCCTAAGGCCTTATCAGTTTCAATATTTCTCTAGAATTCTTCCTAAATCCAAACAGCCAAACAGAATGACAGACCTTTGTAGCGGGAAACCAGTGTTGTCACAAGTTGAGCATCAGATTCTGCAATCAATAGTAACAGTTTTGTAGCTGCATTTCCTAGGACAGGATTGGTGGTAGAAGAAAGCTTGTACACAAGCTCATCCAAAATACCGTGCAGGGTTCCTTCTGGCACTTCAAGTAACACAGCACTAACAAGAAAAGAGATGGAAATAAATTGGATCCTACTCAGCAGAGGTGGGGGAATATAGAAGGATTGGGGTAGTTAACTCACCTTGCACCAAAGACTACAACAGTCTTTGAAATTTAAGTGTAATGCTGCACTCCTATCTGTAGTAGCACAATGCTCACTGCAGTTGGTATTATGCATGAAAATTAAGGATGATGTCAAGGGACTTCACAGTAGTAACTCCAAGAAAAATGGAATACATACAAATAGAATTGTTTGGGTCAACTCTTGTTTTCCCAAGGTTCTAAGTTAAACTGATAAAAGGTTCTCCTCCAGAGATATGACAATGCAGTTATGAGTTAGACAGCACTATATGTTACTTAACTCATGAGAGAACAGGCCATAAAGCACATGCCACCTAAATTTAGCTAGCTGGTATGGAAACAAGAACTCTTCAAAATATACAAATTCATATGGTAACTCAGCAAGTTAATAAAATAATGTAATGTGAAGGTTATGTAATGTGTATGAGGGGGGTTGCTATTTATTACTATTCTATTAAAGAAACAGTTAGGGGTCTTGTCACACATTCATATTCCACAAAGTGGTTCCAACAGCAAAGTCAAGTGCTAGCCAGGGGGAAAACTAGCACTTCTCAGATTAAAAGTCCTTTGGCCTCATCTACTAAGGTGGCCCTCCCACAAAGAAGCATGCTTCTGATAATGATGTATGGCCTATCTGAAATCCATGAGAAGTTAATCTCCAATAAAATATCCAGAAGACCATTGCCTTTGGGCCCCTGCATGCTTGCTATCAATGCCTTCCAGCTCTACAGGCAATTATATTACTTATGTTGAAACTTACCCTGAACTAAAGCAATAATTAGAAAAGCACTTGTAATTTCACATGGGCTTTCCCCATGACTTAGTATGCAACTGCTCTGACATTATCCCTTGCTCATATAAGTACATTCAGAGTTCAAGTATGTGAATTATCTTGAAAAAGTATTCAGCATTTTAAGATAACATTTTTATAAGACTCTTTCAGAGAAATGTATAAAACAAGATATAGCTTAGGTGCCATTTACCTGTTGGCTCTTAAAATATTCTGCAAAATAGACATAACTACTGTTGTAGTTTCAACATCATCAGTCACCAACAGTTGTTGGAAGTGTCCATTCTGAAGCACTAGGGTGAAACATGAAGTCCATTTCAAACAACAGAAGCAAAGGACAGTATCCAATGGTGTAATTTGAAAAACACAAACAGCACTAGCAGAATTCTACCCAGTTTTTCCATTGTGCAAGTGGTTGTCCATTATGCACATACAACAGGTTGCGCAAGTTATGTACACCTGCTTGTACAAACAGAAACTTGAGCTGGATTCTTCTCTTGTTCATAGTTTGAAATCTGATGTCTGCTAGCACAACAGAATAACGTTTGGTGGGTTTGCACATTACACTAAACTACCCTGCAAACAAAACCACCATAGTTGGCTGTTCACTGAACAACCCACAGTACTGCTGAAAGATTATTGGACTTGCTGTAGCTTATTCTCCCTCATTTTCTTCCCAATGGGTCCAGCACATATCCCAGGTGTCTTTGCAGTAGAACTCTTTTCCGTAATTGTTCCATGGAAATTGCTGGTTACGAGGAATTCTTCAAGCCTTTTGCTATTGCCTAAGTTTGACATGCCAATACTTAGCCTTGCATCCGTTTTTTCCTCTTCTATTTTAGAACGTACTTTGCTTGCCCGTAAACACATTTTTAAAGTCTTCTTCAGGTTACTTTAAAGTAAGCACAGCCATTTCTAAGATAACACCAGCTAGGAAAACACCTTCACTCCAACCACTCTTTGCTTCCTGCCCTTCCTTGCTTCCTGCTTGTCACTCCCCTCCATTCCAGTTGTCACAACTGGATAAGGTTGATGGAGCAGCAATCAGGGAGCAAATAAATGTCATGGCAATCAGTAACATGGAGGCGAAAACTACAGAAATATGAAGGCAGCTGTCTGCTCAGAAAGGATGAAGGAGGATGGCAGCTACATGAGCAAGACTGTGAGCATCGACTGGGTTGTTTCACTGTTCTAACAGCATGACTCTTTAGCTGTTCCCAGAAAGCTATGATACAATTGCCCAGGTCTGGATAATGCAACAACCCACCATGAATATGATCAATCCTAAAACACGTCATATTTTTTCAGTGTGGTTTCTTCATGAAAAAGAAACTGCACAGGATTCACATGACACGTCAACCCACTATGATTGATTGCCCATGGTGGGTTGTTAGTCATACGAAGCAAAAAAAGAAAGTAATATTTGATCAGAAACCATCACACCTTCTTCAGCTACAATGGAAAATCCATTTAAGATCTTTCTTCCCTTACCTTTTCCAATTAGCTGAATGTGTCCTCCACACAGCCTGCAGAGGGCATCAGTTGCAGTCCTGAAACAACGTAAAAATTCATTTCTCTCTTCATCCTTCAAATTAAAAAAGCAAAAAATTAAGATTACAAAGCATGAAACATGCCTTGAAAGCAATCCTATCTTCAAGTTATACTTATAGAGCAAGACAGGTTGTTTCAAAATCACCTTGCAATGGTGGAACCTAACACTATGTCAGTACAACAGGGAAATTGCACTGAATTCATACCGGGAATGGAAAGGAAATCTGAATCCTTTTGTTTACTAGACAAAAGTCACCATGCCATCATAATATTATACCTGACGATGCTGATGACAGTTACCCCAGCAGTGGTGATGTGGGTATACTGGACTATTTTTAACTGGGCAATTCTCCAGAAAATGTAGAAATTGCCCAATGCTCAGCAGCCCACTGTGCCGTGAGGAAGAGGGGGTGGCAGAAAAAAATAGAAGGGTAGCCTTGCCCACTTTTAGCTACTTGTATGTATCCCAGAAAGAATGTGGCCCTTGAAAGAAACAAGGTCCTCCTTCCCAATAAGAATCCATTTCAATCAGGCAAAGTCTATTGAAGAGATGACCAGAGTATAATTACTGAAACCAAGCTGTCCACGTGGGGGCATAGTGCCACTGAGGCTACCTGGGCATGAAGTGACACAGCTGACTCAAGAGGAAACCCTGAGTTATGAACCTGCTCCTTCAAGAGGAGAGTGATCCTCTCCAGGACAGGTTGACTTCTTTCCATCTGGTCAGAAGAACCACCCGCTAAGAACATCTCAGTCTTGCCTGGACTGGATTTGTTAGCCCTCAGTCAGTCCACTGTTGTAGCCAGGCACTGGTTCAGCACATCCACAGCCTCGGCTGCTGAAGATGAAAAGCAGAAATAGAGCTGTGTGTCATCAGAGCACTGACGACAACGCACTCAAAACTCTGGATGAACCCACTCAGTGGTTTCAAGTAGATGTTAATTAGCATCGAGGACAAGATCAAGCCCTGATTAACTCTATACAGGAGAATCTAAGAGGGCAGGAAATAATCTCCATGCATCAACTTCTGAAGCTGGCTGTCCAAGCTGGAGCTAAACCACTGCAATGCAGTACCCCCTATATCCAATTCAGCCAACCACCCCAAAAGGATACCACGGCTGAGGGCATCCAGGAGCCACTGAATGATCCAGGGTCACACTCCTCTTGTTGCTCTCCCAGCATAGGTCATCATGCAAGATGAACAAAGCAGTTTCTATGCCAGAAGTTCAATAAGTCATTAATAAATGTTTGCAGGGGTGCATTTGCAACTAATGTTGGTCCTGGACTTTCCTAGCTTGCTCTCAAATGATGGTATTATCAAGCAATGTAAGGGAGAAGGGCCTTCTGCTGTGATACAGCTGCTAAGAGCACTGACTGCCCCCTCATGCAAGGCCTGGCTTGGCCTGCAGTCTTCATGGTGGATTAATAAGCTACCATCCCCTTCTGGCCTGTATAAATCAGCAGTTCAGCATGTTAACATGTCAAGAAGCTACACAAAAGTTCCACTACACAACATTAAGTCTACCAGCTCAAATACCTTGATTGCTCGGACAAGCCGTGCTTGCAAACGCCTTCCTAAGAAGAGGAGGTTGTCTGCAGCAGAAGGCAGTATCTTCTTGTAAAATTCCTCTGGATTTTCTTTCACCTCAAGATCCATACAACAAAGGCTGAAAAAATGAAACACACACATTTTCCCTCTCTTTCACTAATTTACAGATAGTGCGCTCAAGCCCTTCAAGTTAATACAGAGCCATCAAGTGATTTAAAGATAGAAAAGCTGAAGGCAATTCAAGAATAAATTTGTACAACCATGATGTATTTTACCTTAGTATCTCTGCTATTTGGGCAGCAGTAGCCCAGCCTCCAAACACCCTTGTATAATCTTGCTTAAGGATTAATATGCAGTATTGAATCAGATCGTAGCAATACAAGTCTTGTTTAATTTTCTGTGATTCGTTACTTCCAGGTGGTGCACTAGTTAAAATATCTAGCAAAGAAAAATAAGAGTGTACAAATTCCTGTTCCATATATTAACAAAATCACACACTTTCCCAATTATAATAGAATATACTTTCCTGTCTATTCTGAAAGAAAGTGTAACAAACAAAATCCATTAAATGAACATTTCACACTAAACCCCTACTACTCTCACTTCATCCGCCATATTATTACAACCATTCCCATAATGCTGAAGTAGGGCAACAGTCCACTAGGTAGTATTTAAAATGAAGAAAACAGAGAATTCATACACAGAAGGAGTACAGGTTATATTACAAGGGTAAGGCAGGTCTGGCAAGTAAATCTGTGGGAACGAACAGAGGAGAGTAACAAAGCAGTGAAATGCAACTGAATTGGGACTAAAATAGTTCTGAAAAAGATTTGAACAAACGTGAAAAACATCCATAAAAGGCTATGCAATGGGACAGACTGTGAACTGGACTTCTGAAATCAGAGGGCAAAGAGTCCCGCATTCTGCATAGCTAGAAAGTTTGGCTACAAAGATTTCCCTGACAGCTCCTATGCTACTGCTGCTCATCCTCAGTCCTTCAGAACTAGCTATAGACCGGATCAACGACTCCCATGGAGGCCTTAAGGGCACAGAATCCAATTCTAGCTGAAGTCTAGCAAAGTCATGAACTGCTCTTCTCTTTGGTATCTTATCCTAGTGGCTGTGACATGACATCTCTTTTTTTCTCTTTTCCTACTATCTCTTTCAGCACCTCCTTCTTTACCTAACTTACACATTCTGCAAAGAAATTTACATCTAGTATAAATTGTGAAAACTCAGCAACAGAATACTCAATGTTAATTTCATTTAAACTATAAGAGGTTCAACACATATGGCTATTTCTCTGTTTTCCTTATGCTGAACAGTTCACCTTATTTACCTTTTATTTTCAACAGCAATCCAGGAACATCCTGATGAGGGCTTTCAGTGATCTGGGCAGCCAGAGATAATATTCTAGGGTCCGCAGATAACAGCTTCATTTTAGATCAACTGCATTTTTTATAAAAAGAAAGGAAGTCAAACAATTGTAACATATTTGATTTCAGTTAGAGTTGCAGGGAAGCAAACAGGTAAGTAAATTGCAGTTCAGTAAACAAGAGCCATCTAATAAAATTCACACTGGCTATCCAAGGAAGGGAGTGTTCTAAATGCAGACTACTTTTATTAGCAAAATCATAGACTAATTTGGATCAACAGTTGAGGACATAGCTGAAGGTCTCAAGTTCAGTCTCTGACACTGCCAGTTGATGATCTCAAGTAAAAGTGGAGAGGAGCTGGAGCTGCTGCAGCTGATCAGAACAGACCTGGAACAGATGGACCATTGGCTTGTTGGCAGCAGCTAGTTCATTACTTGCTTATTAATGGACAGTCATCTGAATGGGAAGTGTAGATCAGTGTCCTACAATAGCAAGAGGTTGGACCCAATGGCCTTCTGGCCCCTTCCAACTCTACTATGATTCTAGTCAGTTATCATTTAAGGAACCATCATAATTAGTTGACTATCATGCTCCCTAAAGCTGTAATAAGCCAGAAAATGACAAGCTAATCATTTTTAAAAGTACCAGTAGATTTGGTACTGTCAAGGGCCTTCCTGAAAGGCTGTGGCTAGAAATAGTAGAACACATGAAAGTCAAACAAAGAAATAGTTTTATGATTGTCTCAAAAAAAAGAAAATAAATCACAACATGGAAGATAATTGGTATTATAAAGAAAAAAAGATAAGAAACCTGAAAAGTCTCTGAGATCATAAATGAATGATTAAAGCAAAGCCTTTGGTGGTTTGTATTAGAAGGCCAGATCCTGAAGATGAAACTCAAATACTTTGGCCACCTAATGAGAAGGAAGGACTCCCTGGAGAAGAGCCTAATGCTGGGAACAACAGATGGCAAAAGGAGGGGACGGCAGAGGATGAGGTGGCTAGATGGAGTCACTGAAGCAGTTGGCGTGAACTTAGCTGGACTCCAGGGGATGGTGGAAGACAGTAAGGCCTGGAGGAATGTTGTCCATGGGGTCGAGATGGGTCAGACACGACTTCGCGACTAACAACATTCTATATGGAAGTTTGATTGCAGTTTGGTAATGTAGCTTGACCTTGAGATAGCAGAATTAAATGTAGCATACATATCAAGCCCAACAACTCTAACGATCTTGTTTCAATACCTGCATAACCCCTCTACCTTTAAAAGGGAGAGAAAAATGTTAAATAGAATACAGTGTATTTCCCTTGTCATCAAAGAATAAAAATGTATATTATTCTGAGGCACACTAATTCTACTATAAACTACAGATTTCTAGTACAAATCTAACTACAAATTTGATTCTCCACAAACTAAAGTCCTTTTCAGTCTTCTCTTCTATGTCATGAAAGGTGCAATTCTATGCACATTTAGAAAGAAAAATGTTTTACAACTCCCATGCTGGCTGGGATATGATGAATGTTATAGGATTTTTTTCCCATCTAAATGAGCATAAGGTTGTATCCTAATACTGACATGATTAACAGTTAGAAGAACAGAGCTGCACCTACCATCATCTCCATACATTAGAGGTAGATTTGAAGAACAAGCTCCGTATAAGTAGGCCCTCACTGCATTGTGGGAACTCATGTAATGACAGCTGGCCCTCACATGGTGAGGCTATGCATATGCAGAAACACACTGGTAGCAAGGGAGCAAGATAACAAGACCAGTCAGCACAGTGGCACCCTATTAAACTGTAAATCATACAAACGAGAAACCTAAATAAGGTTCACGTTTTAAAGGAAACGGAAAAGGTGTAAAAATATTTTTTTAAAAAAAATCGATGGGATGTTGCTTTTAAGAGTGAGATACCGGAATAGAAGTTGAAACACAAACTCCAACTCAAACCCTACATGTGTTTTCAAAGAGGAGAGGAATATGCAGACGTCAAAGCCACCCTTAAGTAATCAAATCAGAGCTCACTATGACCATGTACCTAGCCCAATCTCATCCAGGACACAGGGGCAGTAACCTCAACTGTGCTCAACATGCTTTAGATGAATACTGCCACCATTCATGGCCGTTGCCCCTAACCACCGGCAACATGCGCTGGGGCCGATGGGAGATGTCATCCAAAAATCCTGGCAAGGATCGTGCTGTGTGTCTCTATTTTACAAAGACCAGCAGCAGCTCACAGGGGTTTAGAGTAACGTTTCCCATCTCTGCCCAGTGAAAACAAGGACTGATCCAGGGACCCTCTGCAAGCGAACGCAAATGCAGCATTGCACGACGACAGAAAAGATGCGGGGGGGGGGGGAGCTCGGAAAGCCATTTTATGCTCCAAGCACAGAAGTATCATTTCTGGAACCCCCGCAGCGGTTACGACCGAGCCTTCGCAGGCACCGTGAGCTTGGCTACGCTGCGGAATAGCAAAGAACGGCGGGCACCTGCGTCACCGACCGCAAAACGCCCGCACCGCCCCTCGCCGGCCTTCTCTCCCGCGCCGACCGGAAGGGCTGGTGAGACGCTCGCTCCGACCGCCGGCTTCTGCGATGAGGTCACAAGGGCCTCCGCCCAATAGCGCTACAAGTCCCGGCGCGAGAAGCCAGCGTCCGTCGCTCCGGCACGCCCTTTCCCCAACATCCTAATTTGCATAAGAGCCTTCGCGGTTTGGAAGCGTAAGTCCCACTCGAACTCCAGAAGATACAGCTTTCCTACCATAGGTGACGGACGGCTGAGGTGGGCGTGACCTCATAGGGTGCCGCGGCCAATAGGGAGGCCAAAACGCTTCTTGCATCGAATCTTTCTTAGGTTCCTCATCTCCTCGGGGAAACGGAGGGAGGCGCTACGACTCAATCGTCCAGTGAGGAGAAGGGGGCGTGTCCCGGGCGGGGGGGATGCTTGATGGCTCCGCCCTCTTCCTCCGCTCGGGAGAGTGAGCGAGTGTTGTTTATTGGTGGCAGTAGAAGCGGCGTGGGACGGACGTGTAGGTGAAGGGAAGCCGAGAGAGCGGAGGGGGTACCTCGGGATGAACGGGGCGGCCCCGCCGCTCTTCGGCTGTAAGGAGCGCGCCTTGCTGCTGGGCGAGAGTTTCGAGAGGAAGCCGCGCAGCGCCTTCCACACCGTGCGCTGTGAGTGAGCGGGGCAGGCAGCCGTGAGCGGGCGCCGAGCAGAAGGAGGGGTGCGCTGTGGGGCGCGTGCCGGAGAGGCGCCTCAGGCTGGGGAGGGCGACCGCTGCGGAGGAAACCCTTGGGGCAGCCGGGCCGGGGGGTGGAGGTGGCAGAGCCCGCGCCGAGAAGCGGGGAGGAGTTCGGTTGAAGGGAAGGGCTCGGAAGCGGTGCCACAGCGGCAGGCAGGAATAGAGGCTTTGCCTGTCAGCAAGCGGGGCAAAAACGTGGCGTTGTAAAGTCTGACAGACGTACTGAGCGATACCGGCTCTAGTCCAGTGGTGGATGGACCACAGCTTGTGGCGGCTTATTTCGGTGTGGTTCTTTTTGAAGAAGAGTTCTTCTTGTTAAGAGCCCGATCTAAAAGTCATATCTTTAGAATTAACAGAGAATTGTAGTTTGGGATCCATAAGAGGAGTAGTGGAACGGGTGGTAGTTTAATTAGGGCAAACGGAAATGCTTCTAAACTATGCAAGTTTTCAGGTTTTCCAAAGCATTTAGTGGCATTTTCATTGGTCCGTACAGCTACAGAAATCCAAGACCAGTATCTAGTTCTCGGTACCAGAATGAAACAGAGTACAGAGACCTCCCACACAAAAATCTTTTTGGGTTATCCCAAAGTTTGTAATTTCTTCAGAAATTGAGGGAAGTTCCAAAGGGGAGTCATACTGTGGTTGCCGTAGTTGGGGATTAGAAAACCTTGGCAATCTGTACTGCAAATCAGGAAGAAATCAGCCACTAGATCTGGATTTACTTGTTGTCTATCCCAGGCTAGTCCAGAAATGTATATGCTGCAGTAAGGATGCCATCCAATAAAGCTGCCCAGTACCTCTCCAGACTTTGGAGGCTAGTCAGCATCTGGTGAAGGAAGACTCAACCCCCCCCCCCAAATCATTTAGGTGTTTTTGTCTACCTTAGGTGCTGGGGGTACTACTAGGATTCTTCATAGGATAGGGATGCCTCACTCCTCCCCCAAACCTGGCTCCAAAGTTGGTTTTGCAACTTCAGAGCTGCAGCCAGAACAGAAAGAACTGTGCCGGCTTGGCGTTCCAGTTCTGATGTTAGAGAATTTCACCAAGATTAGAACTGGGACCCTAGATTATCCTATCACCATCTAGGGAGTGTCAAACAGCCATAGGATTATTTATTTATTTATTTATTGGATTTATAACCTGCGCTTTTCTTACAACAAACTCAGAATTGCTTATCTCATTCCTCTGCTCTCAGTCTTACTTCCACAACAACAACCCTGTGAGGTAGGTTAGGCTGTGAGTCTGTGACTGGCCCAAAGTCACCTAGTTGGCTTCAGGGCTCAGTGGGGACTAGAGTCCCAGTCCCATGCTCTTAATACTGCACAACACTAGCTCCAAGATTATGCCTGTAATCTGTCAGAATCTGTTTTTTGTGTGGTTAAAGTCATGCTAAGCTAGATTCTTTGGAAGCAAGTAGCACTTTGGACGTGTGGGTACATGGGTTTTTGTGTGTATTTATGATTTGTTTGTGAGAACAAATCAACAGAATCATACTTTTGTTTTTCCAAGTATAGGGATTAATTAAGGAATAATTAAATAGCATTATTTGTTATTCTTGTACTCAGAATATATGTATGAAAAGTTATCCCTTCACTTTAAACATTTTAAAGCCATCACAAATATCAGTTCTATTAATGACTTCCAGCCAGTTCCGTGTGAACAGTCAATGTGTGTTTTAGACATAGATACTTAAAAGGAAAAAAATCCTGGCAAACCAAGAGAAACTGAGTGGTGACTGAGAAGTGAGGAAAAACTATGATGTTATGGTGTTGTTTGAGGAGAGGGTGCTTGGGGGATGAGTAGATTTGCTGGATGTTGCCCACCAGCAGACTGTACCTTGCAGGCCTCTATAATATAAAGACAAATGCACTTTAGTAAGAGTTTATTATGCACTGAGCTTATTTAAGCAGGACCCTATTCAAGTGCAGCAGCCTGGGATATAAAACAAACTGTACATTTTAATCTGTCAATTTTGTGTTCCTTCCTCATGCTCTTTAACTTCTTTACTGTTCATAGAGGAATAAAAACCAAGCACCATCTGTCAAGTAAGTCTTCAAGGGTACTAGAAGTGGGTGAACTCCCACTAAGAATACATGTAGTTCTTGGCTTTTCAAGAATAACAGCATTTGCTGCACTTTCTTATGCAAGATTATTTGCACGTTCTACTGTGTTCATTGGCACTTGTTTCCTGTTGAGTTTGCTTAGGATTGCAGCCTAAGGATTTGTATTTGCTTTAGACCAGATCCTACTGATCTTTGAAGTTGAGAGTTGTTTAGCTTCCATTTGTGTGGAAGTTGGAGATCTGTTTATTCAAAATCTATTTAAACACTTTGGACAGTGTCAATAAGTAACAGGCTTAGTTAATATGATCTATACCAGAACAGGCATTTTTAGACCAGAAAAAGCAAAAATACCTTGGGTGTTAAGGAGCTGACTTTGTAATGGTTTAGTTTTATGAATTATTTAGCTGGAGGAAAGTGATAGTTAAAAGAATAGTTACATTGCCCTACCATTACAGGTTCTCAGTAAATTCAAGAGTTTATATTGTTAATGCTAGTGTCATAGATAATTATTAGCTTGTTGGATCCTTTTTCTTGATGTATATTAAAATAAACTATATTACTAAATAACTAAAATAAAGTTGATGTTTAATGTTTGAGCAATAATTTGTTCCACTGGCAAGGAATAAAGGATTACACATGTGACTATTTAGAGTTGTAATTAATCTTATTGCTGGGAGTATGGAGCATTTTACATTTGTACTAGTACAGTATTTGCTTCTGGATCTAAAGGGTAAGAGTTTTCTTTCCTGAATCTTAGCTTTGCAGTTGCTTCTCTTCAGCTTGAAAGTCAGTGGGAAGGAATAACTGTACTCAATTTAAAATTACTTGGCATATTTTGTAGAACTCCAAAATGTGAAAAATGTGCTATGTACCAGGAAACCTTTTGGTTGTAGGCTCTTGAACAAGATTCTAGCAAAGTGGCAATGTAAACCAGTGCAAGAACAGATACCAGCTGAATGATCCAGCATTTCTCTCCCTCTTATTTATTTATTTATTTATTAAAACATTTTTATGCCGCCCCATTCGCCGAAGCCTCGGGGCGGCTTACAACATAGAATAAGTGCTATGGAATAAGTGCTTATGGATAAGTGCTTATGGAATAAGTGCTTAGAATAAGTGCTTATGGAATAAGTGCTTAAAAATTGGAGTCCTGAAAAATATGGCCAACATTTGTTTTATCTTTTTTTTCTTAGATGACTTTAAACCTGCATCAATTGATACGTCCTGTAAAGGAGACCTTGAAGTTGGCAAAGGTGAACAGGTGACAATAACTTTACCAAATATTGAGGTAAGATGACCTTACCTGTTTCGCAAGATGAAGGCATAGTTTATCTCTTGAAACCTTAATTATGTGTAAGTGCATGAAAAATAGAGCAATCATGTTTGTTATGCCTATGCTGATGTTGAACCAATGTGTGATATTGTATATATTTACTGTACATTTAGGATCCACAGATGTGTGATCCTTAATAGGAACTGGACATATATAGAGAGTCAATTGGAATTCCTCCTCTAGGAACACATGTCTGCTCATGTACTGTATTTGTTTACAAAAGAAACATCAGTGTGTCATCTGCAAAGATGATTGCTGTGTAATATGTGAAATGGACCTTGCTTCCACATTAGGCTCCTTAGGATGGCAGCCTTTGTGATCCATTCTGCAGATGACTTAAAACCGCAGCTACCTTGAATAACTTAGTGGAGGTCTGAAGCATGGTAATATGAAAAACTGCTAAGTTACAATGGTATTACATGATAAACAACAACAAATCAGGATAATATTTGATCTGGGTTGCTTTGTATATACTTAAGGTTTTAAATAGTTCAGTTGTCCTATAAAACATGGAAATCTGGTTTTGAAGCACATCTTCATTCGTGGACTCTTGATTATCTTAGAGTTCATTCAACAAGTTCACTTGTGGGCAGGATTCAACACTACCCATGCAACTCTGCTGATCAGCATGCTAGATATACCACTGGCACAATAGGAAGCTTGTGTTACCTTAGAGCAATTCCAGCAATTAGCTGGCATGCTCATTTTCTTAATAGGACAGACCAGCAGAGTTTCCTTCTCCAAGGTTCACTGATCCCAAAATTAGATTTGCAGCTTGTTTTCAATTGTTTTAGAAAACACTAGCTTTCTATTGTGCTAGAGAGAGATGCGCGTGCTGATGCATGAGCCACATTGGATACTGTCCATTGATTGTTACATATTGATTGCACAGGAAAAACTAATAGGTTTCTGCTGTAGAGTCAAACACAGGAAAGAGGTCAGATCATTCATAATTCTCTGACCACTCTTAGAAAGCTTCCTTCCTTTCTACCTAGTCTGCTTGGTATGTTCCTCAGTTTCCAATTAATCCTTTCTCCTATTCTGTGTTCTTTACAGTCGTAGTTTTGTGAGGTCTATGTGCATTTCTCAGATGGGAAACTGAGATGATACTGAGAAACTGAACTGATTTATTCAAAGACATGTTACAGTTCTATTTATGAGATCAGTATTTGGTTTTGAAAGATGTCCAATATCCTCAGTAATTATATGGCTAGCCACATAGCCCACACAATTTTGCTAACATAATCAAAGTGAACTGGCAATGATATTGTATGTGATCTTGACATCATCTATTGCAACAAGCTCAGAATAGTCTGTAAAAGCTTCTTAATGGCATGTTATTTTGGTACAAATTTCAAAGAGAAAGGGGGATAGTTCAGGGTGTGCTAATGGATATTGCTAATGGATAATGCAGTTGCTGATCCTAACAATAACATACTTCATAATTCTTGAAGTATGCTAATTAAGGAACAGGTTTTCAATTCTATGTGGTTTATGTGACAAATTAAGCAAATGAATCAATACTCCCCAGACTGAATTCAACAGCTTGTGAAGAAACTTGATGAATATAAAAAACTGGTTTTGTTACAACAAGTCAATCCATCTTGATATTAAGGCCAGTTTTTCTAGTCACTTTGGATTCTTACAGCAATTGCTCTGTAGGAAAAGTGACTTTTCCTTTTATAATAATGTACTATATGATAAGGCCCAAGTGTTGCAAAGCATACAGAATTTTAAACTATAAAATATATGGTTACTAGTTCTAAATGAACTAAGCAGCAGTAGTAATTTTCTTCTGATTTTAAAATAGGGATCTACTCCACCAGTAACAGTTTTCAAGGGTTCCAAGAAGCCATACCAAAAAGAATGCATTTTAATAATTAACCATGACACTGGAGAATGTAGACTAGAGAAACTTAGTAGCAACATCACTGTGAAGAAAACCAGGTGGGTGGAAATTTGGAAAAGCTGTTTCCTTACTCATTGTGAAAATGCTATAGTTAAAACAGTCATGTCTAAATTTGGAAATGAAAAAGGTGACTGCCATTTCCTAGCAAGGAACTAAAGCAATGACTGCACTTTGACGTCGCAATAAACCATAATTAATCTTTATGAGAGCAAGCCTAGGCAACTCTTGGGCTTGTGCATGCTCTTGCTTTCTCTCTCATTCTTCAGTGTAACCATGCAGAGGAGTGCAGAAACTTCTGCTTTCATTTTTTTTAATTTCAAGATTTGTACTTGATATTGAACCATAATTAGCTTTGTTTCTAATTGCAATTAAAGTTTAAAAAGTTAAAAGTGTTAAAATGCATCTATATCTGACAGCCAGGCTATTTTAAGTCAAAGTAATTTGATTTAAACCCTTGCCCTGTTTTTTCAATACTAATAGCTAATATTTAAATATTTAGAAAATATGATGGGTTTCTTATATTAACATACTTGTTCAAATTTGGTCAGAAGTCATGGTAATGGAAACTTTTTATAGGAGCCTTCATAGATAAATTTTAACCATTTTGTTTACAATACTTCTATGTTGTATAGTAAGCAGGTTCTGGATGTCTTCAGCAGTCGCTAAAAAGCAATAAGCATTTTGGCAGCATCACATAAACAGTATAAGATGCACAACATCACTAAAAGAACACAGTGGATCTAGAACTCAAGGGATCAAACAAATCAATTCCTGAAAAAAGCCTGGAGAAATTAAAAAAAAAAAAGATTTATTTCTGGCACCAGACTTCTGGGGAGAGAATTCGAGAACTGGGGGCAGCATTACTGGGATAACATCTGTACCCCAGTGGTCTCCCATTGGGGCTTATTTGGTGGGATTAACTGGAGAAAGGCCTGTGATAATATCATTTGTTAAGGGTCCAATTCTACACAAGTCTTTTCTCCAACAATATCTGAAAATTCAATTCTACTAAAACCACTTGGAAACATAAATGATTTCACAAATTTCTAAGTCTGACTTTGTTCTTTAATCCTTTCATGCAGAGGTGAAGGAAGCAGTAAGGTCCAATTTCGTATGGACCAGCAGCAGCAGTTAATGAGAAATGCAAATAAGGTTTCAAACAGTGTTAAATTTTCTCCACCAAAAGAGAAGATTCCTTCGCCTTCTCTTATGGATGATATTGAAAGAGGTAAATTATAACTGCATCTCATATTTGGGGTATTCAAGCTTATTCTGTAATTTGAAGGTTTATGTTTGGAATTCATGCAAAAATGCATAATGGGGAGAAGGGGCTTAGTCTAGCCTTGTTCCTGATTTGTCTGCTATTAATTAGGAGGGTTTATTTTACTTTTTATTTTGGTATGGAAGAGCATTTAGCCATATGAACTCCCACCTGCAGACTACAGTGACAGAGTTCAGACATAGGTTTACCACCTCCATGAGAAACAGTTCTGTTTGAAAACCAATCTTGACCTGAACAAGTAATTAAAATGATAGCTGACTAGTGCCATGTCTCTTCAGAACAAACAAGACACAGGACAAATAGGTCTCCCCTGTAAAGTAGCACCTAAAGTCATAGCCCACCAAAACATTGTACTAGCCTTCATTTTGCTTGTGAGAGGCACTGCTGGAGGATGACAGATGACAAACCACCCCATCCATCATTTCCTGGTCCCTCTCATTATTAAAAGCAGGTTAATAAACATTTTTGGCCAGCCAGAAGCCCAAGTTGGCAGATGTGGAATAGTGTATCCCCTGTCTCCCTCACTAGCCTGCTTGGTTTCTATGCTAACACCTGCATGCCCAGCATAGAAGCTCAGCAGACTGGTAGCCAATGCAGAGATCTCTGTCCCTTCACCTCTACCCCACTGTGTTTGTATGCTGGATATGCAGAAAGGAACTTCATCCCTCTGCAACCCTCACAGCCTTGCGGCAGACTGGTGGAGGAGTGAAGGCTATTCTGTTCTTCTGCCAGCTTACTTGGGCTTTGTCCTGGCCCCTGAGAAAAGGTTCTTCACTTGCTGCATGGCCTGGTGTGGAAGCCGAGGGAGCTGCCAGAGGAGAACAAAGTAATTCATCCTGCTTTTAACAGATCACTGGGAACGTGGCAGGGGAGGAAAAGAAATTCTCTTCTTTTGCAACTGTTACAGAAACTGGTGCAGATGGAACCAAGCAATCAGTCCTCCTTTGCCAGTCCACTCAGTCACATGGATGGAATTTCTAGTTTCCATCAGGATCAAGGAGTTATTAAATAGAAGGCTGAAAGAGGTAGCATCTTCTCAGCACACTTTAAATTCAATTTGTGTTAATCATACATGATAGGAATTGTTTGAAGGGGCAGGTCAAGCATTTGTAACTTGTACTTTTGCTAACACCAGGGCATGCATACATAATACTTACCCCTCCCTCAGGATGAGTGCATTGACATAAAAGCTGCCTCACCATCATAATTAGAGAGCTCAATTTGAAAAGTCATAGATGTGGATGAGTAGAAATGTTTTACAGATTTATTTATTACATTTCCATACTGCTTAATTACTGAGCAATAATAAGATAGACTGCAATTTTATACTTTTGTAATATAAAAGATAAGCAAAATCAAGCAAACAATCTAGCAGTGATTCAAAGATGCAGAATACACCAATGTATATTATGGACAAGTGGAAGGCAGGAATATCCAAAGTTCACTGAGACAGAAATCCCTCTAGCATGCATGAAACTTCTATATATGTACTGCAGAATGTATTAGTACCATGTGGATTACAGTGCCATTTGTGCCAGTAAGATTGGGGATAGAGGCTAGAGGTAGTTGGGCAGAATCCTACTGACTGTTGGGACATCTGAGACCCAAATAGAATACAAACTGCAAGAATTGGAGATGCGGGGTCAGTTCGCAGGTTTCTTGGCCAGTGATTCTGTTTTGGGTGCCACTGCTGGCTGCCTACAGACTCTTCTATCAACACCAAAAGGAGCCTCTAGGGCAATTTCAGGCTAATCTTAACCCCAGCAAAAAACTTGCTTTAAACTTAGTTAGAACTATGCTTCAGTTACTGAATTTTGGTAGTTACTCTGGAAGCTGAAGAGCAGGGTAAAGTATTTCAAATAGATAAATCTTCATGGTTGGCGGTGTCAATAACTTGATAGTCTCACCTATGGTAGTGAAAACTTTTAGTCACTATTTCACTGTGTCTTAAATGAAACTAGCTACATAATCCCTATTATACTCTTATTTATTCCTGCTGTTCCAGCCATTAATGAAATGGGAGTATGGTGGGGCATGGCAATGCAATGGCAACAGTGTGGCTGTGTCAGCCTTCTCTTTGCCCCCCCCCCCCCATGTTGACCCTGGTATTACTAAAGTTTACTTAACCCTTCGGGCCCCATCATCTGGTTGTTTGCTTTACTCTTAGACAATAGTCTCGTTTCCTAATGATAAGAGGTGAAGGCTTTCCATGGAAGTATACTTGAGGATTGCCTATCTTTTTAAAAAGTTGATTCAGGCATACATTAATCATATATTTAATATTTCTTTCACAAGTATGAGGACACTCCTTTTAAAACTGTGAACCTGAAAACTATACTAATGTAGCAAATCTCCTAGTTGCTAAGATACCAGTTTCAGTTGCCTTGGTTAGCCAGGTGACTGGCTGTGCATGATTGCCTTTAAAATCAGATATGCCTGGTAATGACAGGATCTGGAGAATTGCTTCATTTTACACAAAGACTATGTGTTAATCTCTATACAGTTAGGACCCCCCCCCCCAAAAAAAACCCAACCTGCTGGCATAAATGTAATGCCATGTACTTCCTTCTTAGAAGAGCTAACATTGGAAAAGCTATCATTGCTTTACTTCAAGTATAATTAACTTCTAATAGTTAAGAAGTTAATGGTAGTTAATTGTACCACTAATAGGAAACCTTTAAACATGCTTTACAAAAGCTTTTCTCATGCTTGTGTTTCTTTGTAAGCAAACTCTGACCAGAAAGTCAGAAAGTCTTGGCACTTTGTTCCCTGAACAACTACCTTGAAGTACTCAGTGTTGAAAGGGAAGGAGTTCAAGGGCACATGAGAACTGAGTGTCCTAGGGGTTCCTTGTTTGATTTCGAACTTGTTCTGAGTGAGTCACAAAAACCCAAAGTAGTTTCCTAACATTCTGTCAACATCATGACACATGAAATGTTGTCTTACCTGATAGTTTCCTGCTAGGAAACTAGCTTATATTCAACTCCCCCCTTTTAAGACCTAAGAAAACATTCCTTCTAAAAGTAAAGTGGGTAATATGTTCTGACCAGTAGGGCAGCAAAATGGAGTTGCCAGTGGAAAGCCCCAGCTTTGCAGAGAACTTTTAAAAAAGTATTAAAATGGGAGCAGAAACTAAAACTAACAGGCTAAAACTAACATCTGATGTGCAGTGGTCATGTTCTCTGTGTTACAGTTTTTGAACATATTTTCAGGTATGGTTAACTTTGCAAACCAAACTATGAATGTCACCACAGGTCATTGGTTCAATTAATAAAACAAGAACAAAATACAGAAGTGGCATCTGTGCCAACAGCAGCTCATAGAGATATAGCTGAAATTTGGAAACTAGAACTTTTAACATTGAAATCCTGGTACACATAGCTGTGGCAAAGGGCCATAGCAGAAAAATTGAGATATTAAATTACCTAAAAGCAAAATAGCTGATTTTTATAAAATATGCTATAATTTTATTTCATATGTAAATCAGGAGCATAGGCAACTGCATCTATCAAAGCCTTTCCTGAGGTTATGGAAAAAAGACTTCGTATTTGTACTTTTAATTCAAACAGCAACAAGGTGCTGTACTATTTTTGGTCGGGGCTAAACAGCCAGCCCCAAACGATAGTACTTCAGTGACTGTAGTAAAATCACATATAGCAGGGCATGATTTGGGATAGAATGAAATGGGGAAAGGACACCTTTCATCTTTCTAATCATCTGCTTTGTAGAACTAAACTGATCTGGTTTAGGGCTATCCCTTCCGTATCCGTGTTAATTTAATTTAAGGTTAGGGTTAGGGGTTTAACCTTTCCATCACCTGTGCTAATTAATGAAAGTTTGGGGCATTTGTGCCAGAGCCAAAATGCTCTCACACTGTAAGCACTCCATAGTACTGTATGGTGCCATCGTTCAGAGCGCTGTGCTCAGCAAGCCACATTCAGTATAGTGGTGCTGCTGATCAGTATTGCTTTGATCTTGCAACAATAAGACTAGATTAACTCACTGAACAGAATGCCCAAACAGGAGTGCTGTTAAGAGCGAGCTGGAACCCAGAACAGGAGCACAGAAGCATTGTATTTGAAGCTAGTTCAGGACCTATTGCCTTATTTTCTTGAGAGTTCCCACTTGTGTACAGATATTGAAATCTCTGTATAAATCAATGATTCTGAATAGATAAGTAATAGTAAGAAGTCTTAAAGTGCCCTTTAGAGAAGAGCTAGCAAAGTTACTTCAAAGGATTAATTTGCTACAATTTCATTTTGTTAGTTCTTTTTAATGACTAGCAATTACATCTCATTTAATTATGTCCATAAAAGAACTAAGAGCTTTACAAAGCAAATCTTCAGAAGTGTTACATACTAATAATCTTATGGGTGCATTCATACAACAGTTTGAGCTAGTGTGGCACACTGTACTAGTTTACATCTTAAATGCCATGGAATGAGCTGGTTATGTGAAAGTATGCTCACTGAGCCTACAAGCGTAGACTGGATTTTGCTTTCTGTTGCGGTAGCTTGAAAATCTCCAATAATGGTGTGCAAAAAGTTTATCCGGGGTCAACATGTGCTCAAATCAGTTGTCACATAACTAACTCAGCCCTTGCATTGCAGATAAATTTCTGTTAAAAATAGTAGCTACAGCAACCTCAATCAATTGATTTAAGTTCAAAGGCAAGTAGAATAATACTGTCTGAAAAGATTCTGGTGAAGTTTTATGATTGCAAAGTCTGGCAGTTTTATTTCTCTCACCACCTTGGGAAACTTAACTTTCTGCATAAGCAGAAGACTGATTATGTTGCACTTTTATTCTGGCTTTCCTCCCAGGAGCTTAGGGCCATGTGCCTTGGGCCCACTGCCTTATGCACTCCAACACCCTGTGAAATGGGGCTCATGATGATGACTGAGCTGGTGGGATTTTAGGAAATTGGTTTTATTGAGCCTAAGCCATTTCAACTTCACTCTTGAACAACCAGGATTGAAGGTATACAGCTAAACTGCAAAACATGTTGGGCTCAGGTCAGGTTTCCTGTGCACTTAGAAGTTTCCTTTTCCTGCAGTTGGTATATCCCATCGTGCTCGCTCGCTCTCTCTCTCTTTCTCTCTCTCTTTTGTAGGGATTTGAACTTGGGGTATATGGCCAAAATCTAATGGTCTGACCACTACACCTCACTAACAAATACAAAATCCATTCTTCGCTTCCTGTTTAGACTGTCATATAAATTTCTTACTTTATTTAGATTCTTAAAATTGAATATTGAAATTATAAGTTAAGTTTGTGAGCAGCTTCTTAATCTTAATCCTTCCTTTCTCCACTAAATCTTATTTGCAGAACTAAAGGCAGAAGCCAAAGTTATCGAGCAGATGAGCAGCACTGATAGTTCATCTGAATCACAGAGCTCATCGTCAAGCAGTGAAAATAGTTCTAGTGATTCAGAAGATGAAGAGGCAAAGCCATCCCATTCCTTGTCAATGCCCCGCCTACAGCCTGCTATGATGACTGTATCACAACAGGCTTTTCCAGATGTGCAAACTGGATATCACAGAAGTCAAGAGAGCAGTGGCCATTTGATGAACACACTGCGTAAGTAGAAGAAGCAAAGCACCTTGTTAGACTCAGACTTGAGAAACCAAAACGTAAACCACATGCTTTTGTAACTTGCTCATGTAACTTAAGCCATGTCTGTATAGAGAGGGTTTGGTTTGCTGAGGTTTGGATTAGAAGCTGGGATAAAAATTACTTTGACCACTGATTATGCTAAATTAAAGCTTATGCCACATACAATATGTCATAGACGATATTGGTTGCTTCTGAGTTGTACTGCATTGGGATTAAAAACAATAATTTGTTCTGGAAACATTTAGAAATCTCAAAAAGAACTATTTCAGTCCTTAGGGCAATGTGGCCTAGCTTTTACTGCTATAAAAAGCATTATCTACAGACCTGCATAGCTCCTCTCTCTGTGTCCCTGTCTGTCTCACACGCACAGACACACACACACACACACACACACTGAGCGAGCAAGCAAGCAAGCGAGCGAGCGAGCATGATGAATGCTAGCCTTTCTCCCAGCCTTGGATGCACAAATAGTGTAGAGTTTTTTGTACAGTTGTACGACGATTCCCACTCTCTTCCCAGCATCAAGACTAAGAGGAAGCATGCAGATTAATTGGCTGCTGCATTGCTAAGACACCTGAAACATTTCAGCATCCCTGGTCAAACCAGCAAGCTTTCATCACCCTTTCTGGCTTCTGAGTTGAAGTCAGAGACAGAATCAAAGGAAAGGGCCTGGGGCCTGGCAACCACAAGTTTTAGCTTTGCTTGCAAGACCAGCAAAATGTGGGGGAGCATGGATTATATACTTCATGTCATTTTCTGATAATCAGTTTGTATGTGCTCATGTATCCTCATTTTATGCAGTTGTTCTCAAAACTAAGAATAGCAAGGAAGTCTGTCAACAGAATTCTGTCCTAATTCTCAAGTAAATCAGGCACTTCTTAGCCTGAGTTAATGGTCTGGTACATCTGCCTAATAAAACTCTACTAAACAATGCTATTTTTTACAGTAGTTGCTTCACTAAGAACTGTAGAGTTGCTTCTTCTTTGAGGGGGTTTTTTAGTAATAAGAAAAACATGGTACTTTTACTTCCTATAACAGACAAATATCAAAAATTGACTAGAGTAAATGTTGGATATACAAACAGGCCTTCCCAAAAGGATTTCTGCAGGACTTTAATGAGCTTCAGTTCCATACATGTCAATTTTATGTTGTAAGGATTCTCTCATACACAAGTAAAACTACCCATCAGTACCACAGCACTGTGTACAAGCAGTGCTAGAATTCTATAAGGACAGAATATATTAGTCTTGGACTTTTTACTACATAAATGACTTTGCTTTCCTGAAACACCAATTTAGGCCACAGTTTTAAAATCTTTGGGAACAATGCTGTACTACCTAGACATCTTTTGCGGGGACATAGGATAGTTGAAATTTCCAGCTCCAAGGTTAAAGATATTGATCTTTCAGTCTCAGAGAGCTGATCAGCCCCTCACAGCCAGCACAAAAGGAATTGTACAGGCTGCTCTCTAAGGTTAGGGAAGCAACTTCAGAGAAAGGTAGTAGGGAAGGGTGTGGTGGTGGCTAGGTAGGAGACTGAAGTATCCAGGACACAAGGCATCCTGACACTGCTTCAGCCTTCTTTCCTCACCCTCTGTGATGCCACTGCTATATGGCCAAAAATCGCCATCTAGCCTCCACAACTCCTTTCAGTCTGCGATGGATGAGTGTGAGCTTCTGGATGCGAGAGTTTATATCCATAGAATAGTGCCTTTAGAGAATTGGAAGTCACCCTTTGGAAAGGTCTGATGATTTTAAACAAGGCAAATATAGATTTAAATAGTGTCAAATGTGCACATTTTTGACAACTAGTGTTTCATAATGGACAGTACTGAAATAATATTATGTAATGGTTAAACCAAACTGCCAGCTTGCGCTTCTGTAAGATCATAATGAAGGGTTCTTCTGGAGCTGTAAAGACATCAATTAAAAATAAAGCACAACTTTCCAAAATATTGAAAAAGATACATTATAATCTGGTGGAGCACATGCCTGATGCAAAGCTCAAGACAGATGCATAAGGAGTTAGAAACACAAGACATTGAGATCCATGATGGGGCTCCTAATGCTTTTAATTATTTTGTATTTTTAAAAATGTAGTGGGGTTTGAGATAGGATCTAGGTTAAGAGTGTGCTGTTTGGTACGTTGTATGTTTAATGCATTCATTTTTATACTTTTCCCGATGAAAACTGCCTCCCACAAGCAGCCTCCCCATATATGGTCACCTATAGATTTGGCCTTCAACATCAACTTGATTCTAGTATTTAACATATTACAGTGCTGCCTCTTAGTTTGAACAACTCTGCCTTCGGACGATCCAGAGTTAGAACGTTAGAGTCAAGATGAATTGCTCTGTAGTTTGAACAATGCTTCTAAGTTCGAACTGTGAGCAAAATGAAAAGCAGTCTAAGTGAACATGTTATCGGTTGTGCACCCAAGTTGAAAAAAGCTTCAATGTCCTCAGTTGATTCATCTTGACTTGAATCAATTTGTTTTGTCTTGACATGAATCAAGGCAGCCATGGCAGCACTGGAAGAAGTGTGTTTAAAGTGAGGGGGAGTATTTTGATGGGGATTGATGGCAATGTGTATTTTACTGTAATTTTTTTTATTTAAACATTCACTGTATTTTTTGATCACACCTCATATATAACCTTGAATTTAATTCATTTCAGAAGGCTGTATTTGTTGTTTAAGTTTACTGAAATTGGTATTGTTTAGGGCCTGGGAATGGATTAATTCACTTTTCGTTATTTCTAATGGGGAAAATTGCTTTCGACTTCAAACAATTCAGAGTTCAAATGGCCTCCTGAAATTAAGTTCAAAGTATGAGGCACCATTGTACTTATGTTTAGATCTAACAGGCTAGGAACTTCAATTGCATTATGGAAAAACTATTCACTAGAGTTGATATCATAATTTTTTTTTGTTTAATTTTAGGGAACGATCTTCAGTTGAGTGAATCTGGAAGTGACAGTGACGACTAAAGAGACTTTTCTGTTTTATATCATTTCCATTACTGAAGCTGAAAAGGCGTTTCATTTGCACTACGTTAAAGACAGAGGAATGTTACTAACTTTTTAATAAAATCGACTTCACTTTTCTCACTTCAAGTTCAACATTCCTTTTGCCATAATTGTATATGGATTTTTAAAATTTCTGGATTATGATATTTATTCTTTATTGTTGGATCCAAAGTAGCCTATGACACCTCCTTTGATTAAAATTTCAGACAACTATGTACCAGACATGGAGGAAATTCTTGTTTGTAACATATATATTCTGGATCACTATTTTACTAGAGAAGCTTAGGGCTCTATCTGGTGTTAGACTCATTTAAGTCCCCTTCATTTCAGTGGGTCTACTCAAAGTTGAACTAAGATTGGATACAGCCCTTATGTATGTGTAACTAGGAAGAGTAAGCAGTTGAACTCTGTTACCTTTTATTATTTGAAGCTAAGCATATAAAAGTAACTGCCAAGCAACAATATTTTTGTGTAATTTTTGAGCAATATATCAACATATTCTGAATTTCCATGTGTTTTCTAGTCTGCAGTTTCTCAGATGTGCCTTTCTAGGAACAGTTTGCCTTTATTTTGGATTTTGCTACTTGAATGTACTCTGCTTCACAACATAAATGTCCTTTTAAATTTTTATTAAGATTAGTGCATCACTTTTGATGGTTCAAAAAATAAAACATTTAGCATTTCATTGATAGTTACTGTTTTTATTATTTTAAAAAAAGCTATGGGGCATCATTTGTGCAGGGTAAGAAGTCTCTGGCTTCTTAACTGCGGAGGAATAGGGGAGCATTGGAACTTTGGGTGAGAGAGTTGGAGCTGGGCCGTGCAGCAAGGCATATATCCATAATAGCATTCTTGCCCTGCTTTACCTACATCCCTGCTATTCATACATAGCAACGTATGTATGTATGCCTGCTGACAGGGTAAGGGTAAATGCTAGCTACGCACATTTACCTGAGGTACATAGATCATTATCAACATGAAGTCTGATCACTTCATGGATTGAAACGATTATGAGCCTCTAATTTACCATTCATTAACACTAATTCTTTGTTGAACAGATAATAAGTTAAAGAAAGTGTTGTCTGATGCTAGGTTAAGTAGTCAAGCTTAATTATGCTTTGAGAAAACGATTGGTTTTAACTTCGATCTCAAGAACTATAAGCAAAATGAAAAAAAGTGCTGTAACATGAACTTCCAAGCAAGAGTTCATGGTGCAATCCCACCATTTATTTGAGGCTGTATGCCATGTACTAGAAACAGTGAATAAGCAAAACTATATCAAAGGCTAATAAAGTCCTGATAAGTGAGATGCTTTATTGTGTCCCCACATCCCCTCCACAGGAAAGCCTATATGGTAAGACTTAAAGGTATTGTCTCTTGAGAAATGTATATGTGGGTCAAGAAGCAACAGGGAGAACTGGACACGGAACCACTGATTGGTTCAAAATTGAGAAAGGAGTTCAGAAAGGCTCTATACTCTCGCCCTGCCTATTTGACTTATATGCAGAGCACATCGTGAGAAAGACAGGGCTAGATGAATCACAAGTTGGAATTAAGATTACCGGGGGAAATAACAACCTCAGATATGCAGATGATACCACTCTAATGGCAGAAAGTGAAGAGGAACTAGAGCCTCTTGATGCGGGTGAAGGAGGAGAGTGCAAAAGTTGGCTTGAAACTCAACATTAAGAAAACTAAGATCATGGCATCTGGTCCTCTCACTTCCTGGCAAATAGATGGGGAAGAAATGGAGGTAGTGACAGATTTTATTTTCCTGAGCTCCAAGATCACCGCAGACGGGGACTGCAGCCGAGAAATTAAAAGACGCTTGCTCCTGGGGAGGAAAGCAATGGCAAATCTAGACAGCATACTAAAAAGCAGAGACCACCCTGCCAACAAAAGTGCATATAGTCAAGGCTATGGTTTTTGCAGTTGCAATGTATGGCTGTGAAAGTTGGACCATAAGGAAGGCTGAGCGCCAAAGGATTGAGGCCTTTGAATTGTGGTGCTGGAGAAGACTCCTGCGAGTCCCTTGGACTGCAAGGTGATCAAACCAGTCAGTCCTAGAGGAGATCAACCCTGACTGCTCTTTAGAAGGCCAGATACTGAAGATGAAACTCAAATACTTTGGCCACCTAATGAGAAGGAAGGACTCCTTGGAGAAGAGCCTAATGCTGGGAACAACAGATGGCAAAAGAAGGAGGAGACAGCAGAGAATGAGGTGGCTAGATGGAGTCACTGAAGCAGTTGGTATGAGCTTAAGTGGACTCCGGGGGATGGTGGAGGACAGGAAGGCCTGGAGGAATGTTGTCCGTGGGGTCGAGATGGGTCGGACACGACTTTGTGACTAACAACAACAACAAAGGTAAAACCCCCAAGACCTTGCTGTATCGTTAATGATTGACTCTGAACGTGTAGAAACCACTCTTTTGTAGTATGATTTGCTGTGGGAGGACACACAGTCTGGGACTCTCCCACACAACAGGCACCAGGTGTTAACTGCATGGGAAAGTCCAAGGTAATTTGATCTGTCCTAACCATGGAACTGTTTCATTCACACACGACCCACAGACACGTGAATTCATACTGCATAATTGCCCTTGCCTGTACATGAAGTGTGCAAAAGTAAAGAGGAAATATGTTTGCATAAGGTATTTCTTTTAATAGTTTGACAACTTAAGGAGTGATTGCTTTGCATTTAGGAGTAAACATTAAGCTGCATTATGGAAATGATTATAGCTTGTCATGGCAATAGACTATACCTTTTGCTTAAGGTATCTTATGTTGCTTACTGCCAGCTCCTCTAAGCTGCGCTGCAGATGCCTGTATCCAATATTTGTGTCTAATGAAGGTGAGAATGTGCTCTGCTTCTCAACGTGGCCACCACGTTTTCTACTGATACAGTAGCTGAGTTGGCTACATGGTTTCAATAGGCTGAAGAAGACTTAGGGCAGAGCAAGTGGTGGCTGGACTCCGAGGAATCCAATGGATTCCAACCCCCAGACAGAATTTCTGTCACATTGCTACCAATATTAATGTTTTAAAAGTTGGACTTGAAAAAGGACCCACTTTGATTGTCTGAAATGAACAGGCTTGCCTGGGCAATATCCTGACAGGTGTCAGCTGTCAAAGATCAGCAAAAAGCTAAAACAGGTGAAAGAATAAAAACAGTACATTAAAAACAGCTTACATTACAAACAGTACATTCAAAACAACAACTCAGAGTCTGCAAAGAGTTTTATTTTTTACTTGGCAGTTGTCAAGTGAAAGCCAAGCTGCAAGTGATCTTTGCTTATGAAAATGAGTGGTCAGCAGATCACCCTCTTCATATCAAGTTCCTGAGTTTTCTCCATGTCCTTCATCTTTCTACCCATTCTGAAGATCCCAGGTGCTTAGGAGGATGGAAAAGTACAAGCTACCTCATAATTGGAGCGTGGATATTTGACAGCTGTCAGAGTTCAGGCTTTCTTTTAAACCAGCATTTATGACGAGCTACCCAGGGTTTTTGGATGGACATATGCACTTATAACCTTTTGATAGCTGTCAGGAAAACAAAGTCAAGCAAAATTCCCTGGGCTAACGGAACTTACAGCTATTTTTGCACATAACTCTAATCTATGGTTTATACTAGTAATGGTTTATTGCATTAGCCATGAAATCTCTAGTAGACAAGAAATCAAACCATGAATGGTTTTCCCTATTTCTAGTTTGTTTCTCTTCTGTCTCTTTTGCCAACCTTTAGAGTGGCTTCTTGTTCATGCTATCTTGCTGGGTGCTTGTATGTCAGGGCTGGCAACGGCACAAATGAGCCAGAGGTAAGCCATGTTTACCATGTTTTTCATTTTTTTTCTTCAACTTACCAGTTAGATGACCAGGCTTATGGTGTTAAGTCTCCTCCATCCTGCCATCTCCTTCCTTCTCGGTCCTCCAGGTGGAACCACAGGTGTCACTGCAAGGAAGAATGAGACCCTCCTCTTTGTCAACAGTGATAACAAACTGGGTTTAGCTCACTGCAACAGTCTCAAACAGTCTTGGCTGGACAGACAAGACTCATGCCCCAAAGGGCAGCAGAGAGGGCAAAGCAGCTGATTGGGTACTCTTGCCTCCTGCTCCAGGCAAAAGGAGGGGAAATGAGCTGGGGGGGGGAGGGCTGTGAAAAGCAGCAGCACTGCTCAGCTGATTCTCCCACTGTGTGACTCGCCCACACATGCCTGAGAGAAGCCTCTCATGCACATGTGGGAGAGGGTGAATCAGCTGGATGATGGTGCCCAACTGGAGACAGAGCTGCTCAGCCGATTCCCTTGCTGGGCACCCTTTCTTGCTCCTGCTTGTGAGAGAGGCTGCCCCATCTAATGTTCACCCTGGGCACCAGGTTGGAGAAGCCTCTCTCTCAGGCTGGAGCAAGAAAGGGGTGGCACTGCCTTCCTCTTATCACTGCCACTTGCAAGAAAGGCATGTGGATGAGCACCGGGCTGGGGGTGACTCTCTTGCAAGCAAGAGCAAGAAGGGGTGCACGTGGTGGAATCAGCTGAGCAGCACGGTTCCTTTCTGCAGCACTCACTGGCCATTCACCTGCTCCTGCTCCAGAGAAGTTCTTTAGGGCAGGAAGTGAGCAGAGTGGGGATACCTCTGATAGCTGTGCAAAACAGAGGCAGCCAGTGGGACTCTCTGACTAGTCACTTGGCAAGAGAGGTTATGGCCACTCTTGCCAAGCATCTCTCTGGTTCTGGCCTTCATACTACAATGGGTTCAGTTTTCTGGGTTACATGCAGACTGTTGTTTCTGCTCATGGTTTCTAAGAACAAAACCTACCATGCTGAAATACCATGATTTGATTTGGACAACATAACAGGCCAACAACAATTTTAAAAACTACTATCTTGTTGTATGACCCCAGCCTATGAATCTGCTTTGTGGGTTGTTCTTGATCAAGAGACCATGGTCTGTTATTACATCTGAGTTCACACAACAGATTAACCCAGTATGGGTTGTTGTGTTGTATGAACCCTGTCAATGAAAAGTCTTACTTCAAACATACCAGCACTTGGCATTGTGTGTGAACCAGACCTAGGTTTCTAGGTCCTTGTCTTCTTTCCACCACCCTACCTTTTATTTAGTTTCCTTCCCTGGAAATAGTCACCAAAAATGTAGTTGAGCAAAACCAAGAGATCCCGTGACCTGTATTCTTTGGCCAGGTAGGACCCCACAGAATCTCTTTCCCATAGAAATGAACATGTGGCACAGGTCTATGAACTGCCACCACCTCCTGTGAGCTTAGTCTCTGACCTCTCTCTCAGATTAATACTGAGAGGTGGCCTGTTTTATTCTATCCCATGTGGAAGTGAACTTTTTCTTACTTGGAATTCTTAACTGTTTAAGCATAAAGGCAGGATGATAGGGGAGATGTGAGAGGGTAATGTTCTTAGGGTGTGGTTTGGGTTATATGGAGAAATGTAATAATTTATTTCCTGAGTATGTAAGCAAATTTGGAGATAAAACAAGTCTAGAATAGCAGAGTATCAGAATTACTTGATCTTTTAAACAATGTGTGCCTTACTCATTCATACTAGTGGTGGCAATTTTGAACATGTTACAGAGACTGAAAGAAAGCTTGGAGAGATGATGTGGCATAAACTGGAATAAAAACACTCTGCATCTTAAGACAGAGACAGATGTATCTGATTC